AAGGTGAACTGCAATCGCGAGAATAGTTATATTTTTACCCTTTGGTGCTCTTTTACAATGTCAAAAAGACTTTGAAGATTTTTTCCCCTGGTATTTTTTTAAATACAATATGTATTTTTAACCTTTTAAATATCAAGTGTTGAATTCCAGGTTTTTACTGGACTTTAGGATTGAACAACTTGATAAGGACAGCAGTATCACAACAGACTGAAACCTGAGCTGCAGCATTCCCAGTGTTCCGCTGCCAGTGGAAGGGATGTTGAATCTTTTCAGAGAGCTATGCTCTCTCCCCCGTACCCCTCGCTCCATTTTGTCATGACTTTGAGTAAAGCAGGCTAGAACAAAAACCCCAAAAACAGGTCCTTTTATTCTCATTCTGCTGTAACCCTCCAATCTAAACATTCCCCTCTTCTCTCAGTAAAGCTGCTGTTCAGTTTTCAGTCTTCTGTGGTGTCGTCATTATCCCTCTTGTCCTCCAGCAAAAAGTGGAGGAATTTAGGTCTGATATTTCTAATGCAAAAATTACCAAGTAGAGTTTGATTCTTTAGAATAAATGTTTGAGGTTGTCGTCATACATCATAAAGAAGCAATAAAGGGCACGTGTTCTGGGGATTTTTTGCTGTGCAATTTAACTGTCTCTAATAAGTCTTTCAACAGACTACACAGCAATAACGGTATGTTCAGTAAAAAGTAGAGCACAGCGGAACACAGCTATTTATAACTTTTAAATAACCTTACAAAACCACTTGTAGAGTTTAAAGACCACAAATCTGGAGTTGGTGGGCTCAGGCAAAATTTGGTCTGGAAGGGGAACTGAGCTGGCGACCAGAAATGGTAAACAAAAGTGAATGAAATGTAAGGTTGTTTATGACTGACTATACTCCCCTTGAGAGGAAGAATGGTTTTGTGGGTAGAACATATATTTAACTTGGAGCCACAAGACTTTTCCTCTAGTCACAAATATGCTTTAGGTTTCTTGCATGACCTTAGGCCCAGGTACTTGGTTGCCTATTTTCTGAGAGCTGTGAATGTTCAACACTTCTGAAAATAAGACATCTTAGTTAGATGTCTAAATATGGATGTAGGGTCCTGACTTTACTAAATTTGTAAATGTTACCCTTAAACTCTCAGTCTGTTTACAGATGTAGATATATATTACAGGGGTGTTATGAAACTAAACCAATTATAACACACTGTGATTCTTGGTTAGAATGTAAGTGCAAAGAATTCTGGATGCACCATCTGGATGCACCTGGTTTAGATGTAGGGGGAAGGACTTTTTTCTAGGTTGGGTTTATACAGACTTCTGTAGCAATGACAGTGGGGATCATATGTTCTAATGATTCCTGCTGCAGGAAAATTACCGCTTACTACAGTAAATATGTTAGGTTCCCATTGTCTTATTTCATGGATAGCTCCCTTTCCCTAAAGTCATGAGCATGTAATTGAGATTTATTTTTTGATATTTTTATTCTCCCAGTGTATCCTATATACAGCTTTAAAAAAAGCTCTTGTCCAGGATCCCCCTTTTTTATTCTCCAAATATATACCCCCAAATACAAATGTATCATATAGACTTTTCTGATTTAAGAAACTCTGCTTTCCCTCTATATTTTAAATGTTCTTAAGCTTCTTCTTCCATTGCTCAGAAACTCTAATGTACTGGTTTAAACTATCCTGAACAATGAGTTTTCAATCTGTAGGGGTAAAACAATTCTTATTCCAGAGAGGAGATACTTGATCTTCGCTGTCTGTGCATTCTGACTGGTGCTTGAATGGCCCTATTGTCCTCTCATGCTCTTAAAATGAATTAATTTATCTTTCTAAGAGGAACGCTCTCTTCCCTCCCTACATCCAGTTCAAACTCCCAGTAGTGAAGGAGAGAACAATACTGCAATCAAAACAGCCTATAATTTCTGAACCTTGATTCTGCTGTATGTGTCACTCACAAAACTTGCTTTATACCAACTGCTGAATGCTGTATAGTTACCAGATGGGGTGCTGTCTTACAGCAGTAAGGCATGGAGTAACTGACTGTATAGTGTGTTATGTTATATTTTTCAGATTAGAATAAGAAGGGTATTACTGACTCCCCAATTGCTGCAGCTTTCTAAAGATCCTCTTACTCTAAAATCCAGTTCTGCAAATTTTTATGGACATGCTAACTTAATGCACAAGCATAGTTCTGCTGTCTTCAGTAGGGCTGTTCTGTATGTAAGTGTTTGGAGGATGAGGGCCATGAGTGGGTAAATGTTTGAAATGACTTCTTATGTCATTTATTTGACTTGTAGATGCCTTGCAGTTTCATATTAAAATAAGGTCTAGAGGCCTCAGCCGGCCTGTATTCCACTTTGCTAGATGCTGTGCAGATAAACAATAAGATGGTTCTTCCTCTGAAGAGCTTGCAATCTTTTTTTAAAACAAAACTTAACAGGTGGTGAAACAAATAAATGGGAATGGAGGTGAAAATGTTCACACTTGTAAGAAAGTTTCATGGTATCTAATGTGAAATGAAATACCGTAAATAAATCCAAGAGTGTTTTGGTAAGGAACCTTCTGTGATATTCCTCCAAGTGCTGTGAAGTGCCCAACTTTTACAATATCCACTGTTTAAGCAAGAATGTCTTTTGTGAGGTGGTGAAAGCATAAGAACAAAAAAGGAATCATGTCACTTTCATATTTATATTTATTTCCCTCTATCTATGATCTATAGTACTTAGCTGGCCCCCAATTACAAATTATCAGAGCATCACACATCTTTAATGTATCTATCCTCTCAACGAACCTGTGAGGTTGGGCAATGCTATTATTCCCATTTTACGGCTGGAGAACTGAGGCAGAATCAGAAGTTAGGTGCCTAAATTCCTTTGAGGACCTGAGCCTAAGTGACCTGTCCAAGGTTATATAGGAAGTCTGTGGTGGAGAAGGGAATTGAACCCTGTGTCTTTCTGATTCCTTTTGAGTGGCTTCATATTTGAAACTTCTGTTGTTGCCTTTGGTAATATGGGCCATATTAATTACAGTGGCCAAATTTATGGGAAGGGGGAGAAATAATTAATTATGCAAAAGGGCTGGGGAGGGGATAAGTTGATCTCCCCCCCCCCTCTGCTTTTCCACCTTAATCCTTCCCCATTCTCCTGCCCCTCACTCCCTCTTTTTTTTTTTTTTTTTTTTCCCATTTGTTGTTTTATGAAGTATTGGTAAAGCACAGTTACCCTCCAGTCAGGATCTCAGGTTATGTCCTCTGAAAACCTATTTCTCATACTTCTTCCAGTCACTCAATATCCATTCTCTATTTAGCAACCAGAATTGTGCACAATTCTTCAAGTGGGTGCCGTTTGTTCGCTCAGCTCTGCCTTCTTATGGGTTGTTATAATCAACAAATCATTTAGTTTGCTTAAAAGTAAAGTAGTGAAGAAATGATAGCATTTAGTTTCTTGTTGGCTATCTTTCTATCTTGTTCTTCCCATGTGACTTAACCCATCATAGCCACTGTAGCTCAAAACTAAATATTTGCTTTTTTCAGACTCAATGGTATTTTTTTTTTTTTAACTTTTATGCATCAGGCTTCTGTTAATTTCACCAGTGAAGTCGGACTTTAAGAATACTTCATTGCTATAGAACATGCTGTCAAGTCTATGCTCAGAAGTGATTATACTCCTCAGTCTGTGCCTATAGAACTGATCAGAGAGGATGAATTAGTCACTGTGTAGGTTCCTCAGAGAGCTTTTGGTCTTCTCTAGAATAGATACATCAGGATCAAAGTCATTGTATTAGAAGAAAATGTAAGGAAGTGGCTGAAAGTGAAGAAAAATAAACGCAAACATGTTAGAGGCATAGAATTAAAGTAAAGGGAGAGGGGAAATGGCTAAATCTAAAAGGTGAAAAACTTGCATTAGAAAGAGTTTGGCAGGTTTTAAGGGCATATAGTGAAATTCTTAGTTTGAGAATTAATTGCCACAACGGTTTTTGGTAGCTTCAGTTTTGTTGTTGATGTGCTTGAAATCTAACTTAAAAAAATTAAATGGAACAACTTTAAGGGGTTGTTTTGGTGTCAATCTTGCAGGAAATCATGAACAGGTTTTTTCCCACTACAATCAATTAAGCAACTTTAATTGAAATAGAGTCTCAATGCCTCCATACTGTTTTAGGTTCTGCTCTAAAATGAAGATTATAATTTTTTTGGGGTAGGGACTCTGTTACTATATGTGTCTACAGTGCTAAGCCCTTTGTTTCCTACTGTGATGCAATTATTACTTAACATTTATGATACAAATATATGAATTTATTATTGTTATGAATTTTCATTTTCTTGCTCAATTTTGTTTTTAAAAATGGAAGCAAGCCCATGTTCAGCATCTCTAACAAGACCACAGATTCTACTATTAAGCATTTTGTCCAAAGGTTATTTCAAAGGCAAGCATTACTGTCCCCAGTTTATGGATTGGGAAACTGAGGCACAGAGCGGTGAAATGACTTGCCCAAATTCATTCAACAGATCAATGGCAAAACCAGTCAAGTGTTCAAGAACTAGAATTTTATAAACGTTATGAAAGCATTGTCTTAGTATTAGAAATGCCTAATATATATATGCAGCACTATTACATATGCCTAATATATATATGCAGCACTATTACATATGCCTAATATATATATGCAGCATATATATATAGTGTTGCACTGTAGAAACCGAGGTTATCAAAAACTGAAGTATGATTTAATCCAGTGAATCATGTTTTAAAATCGAGATTTCTCTTAGGCTACTTTACCTCGCATTAAATTGCATAGAACATTTACCTGCCCACTTGTGATCAAATAACATCCGTCTAGAAACTAGAGGAATTATTACATAGAAAAGTAATATTAAGAAAGTATTTAATGTATTTTAGCCCTCTCTCAATGCAGTCAAGAAGAGCTTGTTAATCGCTGGTTTAATAATTTTGAATCTTCTGATTAATGAAGAATGAAACCTTAATTTTTTTCCTTTTTTTTTCTGCTAGGATTTTAAGACTGGGTTTGGTATCACTATAATCCCTATGAATGTGGCGAATGTAAAACAAGTGGACAGGACAGCAAAACAGTCTTTTGAAATAATCACTCCCTATAAAAGCTTTAGGTAAGAGCTGTTCACATTTTTATGTATAAAAATTTTCAGTACTGGTAGTAAATTCTAGAAATGTTTGCTTGACATTAAAATTAACCTTACTCACTTTTGGTAAAAATTGCAGTAATTTAAATATGATGATTCAGTGTTTTTATAAAGTTGTAAGATGTTATTTCTTTGGCTGACTTATTAATCTATTACATCCCTTTCCAAGTACAGTGTCTACTAGATATCCCAGGCCTTACAAATTCTTATTTTTATAATATAAGGATGAATTGAGTTTGTGTGTGGTTTCATTCTAAGCAAGGGTAAAGAAAAAGGAGAGGTCACTGTAAAGTCTTTTTCTTTAAAATAAATAAATAAAAATGTCAGGTAAAATAGGTACCGAAAATAATACTTTGTCCATGTAATTAGTTATCAATTTATTCTAAAAAAGGATCATATGCCACCCCTTTTAAGAACTTCCCATTGAAGCTAGTTGCAAGTTCATTATGTTCCATGGTGAATGATATTGTAAACAAAAGCATGAATACTAATAAAGATATACAAACCTTTTTATGGAATGTCATAGTAAACTATTGCACTTTAAATGAAACTGCAGTAATATAGAAAAATGATTTTCCTTTTCCTATTCCTTTCCTTGGATTTCTGGATCTTAAGCTTGGGACAAGAGACTGAAAAGCAAGCATAATTTTCAGTTTCATTGGTGACCTGTCTGATTCTAATTTCTAGCAGCATAGAACTTCAGGTAGATTGGTCATGATCAATGACTTGAGTCTGTGGCTAACTGGGTCAGATAGTGAGTATTTTACTTACACTAAACCAACAACATTAGATGGTCTGTGCAAAGGAATATCCTATTTAGAGCTATTACCTATGGGATAGTCCATCTCTACTGCTTAGTAAATACTAATAGCTCCTTTGGCTATATCTTCCTTAGTCATTTGTGATACTGTGGCTTAAACTCAAGTTTTAAATCTGATTTATATTGAGTAAAAAGATTGTAAGCAACTCTGGAACGAAAGTTGAGTGCACCAAAAACTACTATTGCATTTAAATAATTTAGCTTATAAAGAAATTATATGTTGGAATGTTAAGGGAGTTTTCATTAAGCAACAAAATGAAAGAATATATCTTGTCTTGATATTTAAATCTCTAGGGAAGTCAGATTTTTGAACGGCAATTTCATTTGTAGATTAAATGCATAAGAGGAACTGTAGACCCTGTTTAATTGGGCTTTAAAATAAAGATCAATAATGCAGAAAAGTCAATTGTTTCAGCTTTACAGCAGAGTCGGAAGGAGAGAAACAAGAGTGGATTGAAGCATTGCAGCAATCGATAGCAGAAACTCTCTCTGATTATGAAGTAGCTGAGAAGATATGGTTCAATGAGTCAAACAGGAGCTGTGCTGATTGTAAAGCTCCAGATCCCGACTGGGCATCCATCAATCTCTGTGTTGTCATTTGTAAGAAATGTGCAGGTAGAGTAATTAAAAATAGGCCGTGGTGGTTCTCCAGGATGTCATTTGCATACCGGTGCATGTCCTTGCATTGTTTTTGTTTTGCTTAAAGTGCCATTTATAACATGTCCTTGCAAAAGTTTTGAGGAACAGAAATTAATGGAAGTTTGTGATATTTTTAAATTGAAGTATAGATATATTTCATTATTCTAAACCACTTCCATGTATGAATGTGTCCAATCCTCTAAGTTGTTCAGTGCCCTTGAAATGAGTAATTCATTGCGATCAGTGGAAGTTAAGCCTCCTTAGTGTCTCTGTAGAGGCACTGGGTACCTTGTAGCCATATAAATAAGGACTTAGGAGCTGGCATACTGGGTCTGACCATGGTCCATTTTGTCTGCTATCCTGTCTCTGCAGTGATCTGTACTAGAGCTACAGGGGAGTGTACAGAACAGGGCAATTTTGGAGTGATCCATCCTCTTCTGGTAGCCAGAGGTATAGGGTCACCCTGAGCACAATATTGTGTCCCTGACCATCTTGCCTAAAAGCCATTGATGCACCTATCTCTTTGAACCAGTTATACTTTCGGCCATTACAATATTCCATGCCAGTGAATTGCACAGGTTAGCTGTGCATTGTGTGAAAATGTACTTCCTCTTGTTTGTATTAAACCTGCTTCCTATTAATTTCATTAGTGACCCCCTAGTTTTTGTATTGTGTGAAAGGGTAAATAACATTTCTGTTCATTTTTTTCCACACCATTTATGACTTTACTGAACTCTATTATATCCCCCCTTAATAGTCTCTTTTCTAAACTGAACAGCCCTAATCATTTTAGTCTCGCCTCGTAGGAAAGCGAGATGCAGCGACCAGAACTGGACACAGTATTCATGGTGTGAATGCACCAGGGATTTATATAGTGGCATTATATTTTCTGTCTTATTTTCTATCCCTTTCCTAATAGTTCCTAACATACTGTTAACCTTTTTGACTGCTACTGCTCAATAAGTAGAAGTTTTCAGAGAGCTATCCACAGTGACCTCAATATCTTTTTTGCGTGGAAACAGCTAATTTAGAACCCATCATTGTTTATGTGTAGTTGGGATTATTTTTTCCTTTGACCTTGTCAAAGGATTTCTGAAAATCGGAATATATTATATCGACTGGATCACCTTTATCCACTTGCTTGTTGACTCCCTCAAATAATTCTAATTTCCAAAGAATTGCCTATTTCAGTTGTCTGGTACAGAGGTTGATGTCAGTATTCGGTTACATACTACAGTTAATAGTTCTGCAATTTCTTATTTGAGTTCTTTCAGAACTCTTGGATGAATACCATCTAGTCCTGGTGACTTATTACAGTTTACCTTATCAGTTTGTTCTAAAACCTCTTTTACTGACACATCAAATTGGGACAGAACTTCCGAGTTGTCAGCCAAAAAGAAGAGCTCTGATGCGTGTATCTCTACATCCTCTGCAGTGAAGACCAATGCAAAGAATTCATTTAGTTTCTCTACAGTGGCCTTCTCTTGAGTGCTCCTTTAACAAAATCTTACGAGTAGACATTGCAAAGTAAACATTTCAGAAATTATCTCCAGAACTTCAGTACATATTTTATGGTTACCAAGGAAATATTTTTGAGATGTTAGTAGAAACCTACTTTAAAATGGCAGGTAAAACAGGATTTTTACATTTGCAGTAAGTGGGGGGGGAGGGCTAAAAATTCCAATTAGTTTAACAAAAAAAATCTTTAAATGTCCCCTGTATCAGAAAAAAATCGGTGATATATTAAATATTTAAAGAATTGCATAAAGGTAAACAGTTCAGGTTGAACCTCTCTCGTTCGGCACCCTCAGGACCCGACTGGTGCCGAAACAGAGAATTTGCTGAACCACGGGAGGTCAATGCAGAGTTCCAGCGGGTCTCTATAGGCACGGGAAGTAAGGGTGCGGGGGGTAGTGGAGCACCCCCAGGCTTTGTGCCCAGCATGGCCCCCCGCCTGGGGGCCCTGCTGTGGCCCGGGGTCCCAGCCACTGGCACCAGGTCCTCATCCTTCCCCTCCCTCTGGGATCTTGAACGCTGTGAATCAGCTGTTTGCAGTGCTCTGGAAGAACTGGGAGGGAGGAAGAGGAGTTGATAAGCACAGGGCCGCTGGTACGAGAGAGGCACAGGGGGAGGGGGGCAGAAGGGGGAGCTTGACGGCAGTGGATGCTCTGCACCCACTAATTTTTCCCAGTGGGTGCTCCAGCCCTGGAGCACCCACAGAGTCGGCCCCTATGCTGGACCACGTATATTGCCGGACCAGGGAGTGCCGGATTAGAGAGGTTCAACCTGTATTTACATAACATGGAAAATACATCATTCCTAGTCCAAAGAATTTACAATCTCTTCATAATTTAGGGTGCTGCTTTTATTATAGTGTGAATTGCACAGTATTGTAATTATCTAAAAATTTCAAACTTCTTGCATATGACCAGTCTGTGTTGAAAACAATCCACATAATAACTACTGTCTTTATTAAAGTCATGTTTTTGTTATTTTTTTAACACAAAAGGCTCAGTTGAAATTAAATAATATTTTTAATTAATTTATTTTTATTAAGGACAGCACAGATCTTTAGGGCCCAGAGATTCAAAGGTCCGGAGCCTAAAAATGGATGCCAGCATTTGGAGCAATGAGCTGATTGAGGTAGGTTATGTGATAACTGAACTTCTTGAGATACTGTGAAAAATATGTTAGACCTGTGTGATTGTTGGTATAAAAGTTGCTTTCTTATTTGTGTTTAAAGGCTCAGCTCATTAAAATAAATGTATAAGCCCTATTCTTGCATAATGTATTTACTCTTTAACAGAATTGCCAACCCAAGTATTCAAAAATCACCCCCCCCCACCATTCATGAGATTGGTTGAACAGTCATTTAATTTTAAGAAATAATTATTATTGGGTGACTTTTAGGGCTGTCGGTTAATCACAGTTAACTCATGCAATTAACTCAATAATTAATCACAATTTTAAAAAATTAATCACGATTAATCGTAGTTTTAATCACTTTAAACAATAGAATACAAATTGAAATGTATTAACTATTTTCGGATGTTTTTCTACATTTTCAAATATATTGATTTAAATTACAACACAGAATACAAAGTGTACAGTGCTCACTTTATATTAATATTTTATTACAATATTTGCACTGTAAAAATGATAAACAAAAGAAATAGTATTTTTCAATTCACCTCATACAAGTACCATAATGCAATCTCTTTATTGTGAAAGTGCAACTTACAAATGTGTGTATATATATATATATATATATATATTTTTTTTGTTACATACCTGCACTCAAAACCAAAAGAATGTAAAATTTTAGAGCCTACAAGTCCACTCAGTCCTACTTCATATTCAGCCAATCGCTAAGACAAACAAGTTTGTTTACATCTACTGAAGATAATGCTGACGGCTTCTTATTTACAATGTCACCTGAAAACAAGAGCAGGGGTTCACATGGCACTTTTGTAGCCGGCGTTGCAAGGAATTTACATGCCAGATATGCTAAACATTCGTATGCCCCTTCATGCTTCAGCCACTATTCCAGAGGACGTGCTTCCATGCTGATGACGCTCGTTAAAAAAATAATGCATTAATTAAATTTTGACTGAACTCCTTGTGGGAGAATAATATGTCTTTGCTCTGTTTTACCCTCATTCTGCCATGTATTTCATATTGTAGCAGTCTTGGATGATGACCCAGCACATGTTGTTCATTTTAAGAACACTTTTCACAGCAGATCTAACAAAACGCAAAGAAGGTACCAATGTGAGATTTCTAAAGATAGCTACAGCACTCAACCCCAGGTTTAAGAATCTGAAGTGCCTTCCAAAATCTGAGAGAGACGAGGTGTGGAGCCTGCTCTCCGAAGTCTTAAAAGAGCAACACTCTGATGCGGAAACTACAGAACCCGAACAATCAAAAAAGAAAATCAATCTTCTGCTGGTGGCATCTGAATCAGACGATGAAAATGAACATGCGTCGGTCTCCACTGCTTTGGATCGTTATTGAGCCCATCATCAGCATGGGCGCATGTCCTCTGGAATGGTGGTTGAAGATGAAGGGACATGTGACTCTTTAGTGCATCTGGCATGTAAATATCTTGCAATGCTGGCTGCAACAGTATCATGCTAACGTCGGTTCTCACTTTCAGGTGACGTAAACAAGAAGTGGGCAGCATTATCTCCTGCAAATGTAAACAAACTTGTTTGAGTGACTGGCTGAACAAGAAGTAGGACTGAGTAGACTTGTATGCTCTAAAGTTTTACATTGTTTGTTTTATTTTTGAATGCAGTTATTTTTTTTGTAGATAATTCTACATTTGTAAGTTCAACTTTCATGATCGAGATTGCATTACAATACTTGTATGTGGTGAATGCAAAAATACTATCTTTGTTTTTTAACAGCACAAATATTTGTAATAAAAACAAATATAAAATGAGCACTGTACACTTTGTATTCTGTATTGTAATTGAAATCAATATATTTGAAAATGTAGAAAACAGCCAAAAATATTTAAATAAATGGTATTCTGTTATTGTTTAACAGTGCGATTAATCACGATTAATTTTTTAATCGCTTGACAGCCCTAATTACTTTTATTTCCTTTCTGTTTTTTCCAGCTTCTCGCCAAAACCATGAGGGCTGAATTATTTCCCCACTCTCCCCTCAATACATTATTTTTAACAGAAAGTTGCATGACTCCAGGAGTTGGGGCTTTAAGAAATACATTAAATATTATCCTGAGATTAGCAATACAATCATAATTTGGCAATACTGCTTTAAATACTTCTTAATGTTGCGTAAATGATTTTGATAATTTTGATATAAATTAGATATGCAAAGCTAGACTGTAGCTGGTCTCTACAGTGGTCTTCCACCACACACACACTCCTATATCCCCACACTGAGAATCAGTACAACTGCAGTCCACCCTCCAGAATGCAGTCCATTATCAAGCATTGACGGCTCCCTGCTAACATTAACTGAATGCAGTCCACCCAGTGAGGGAGCATTGCTTTGCTATGACTTCTTTGGAAATGTTCTTAACGGGCCCTTAATCTAGCCCTAAATTGGACTCCTCCCTATTACACACTTGTAGGAAAAATTCAAGTTCAGTTCAAGAAAAGGAGTGAGTGAAATTTTAAAGCTATTCTCTCTAGAATAATCTTCCTGAGAATCTCCTGCAGTAGTGGTGCTTAAAATATTACTTTGTTTTGAGAGACATCCAGCAATGTTTCCCCCTTTTACTCCCAGGGAATATTTATCCAACAATAAAATCTTTTGAAAATGGAAGACGTTTTTTAAGAGTAACCGTATGTGTTCTCTACAATGAGATCCCTCTTCATCACCTCACATCTTCCTTTTGCTGTGGGAAATTAGTTGGTTACTTTGACAGGTAAAAGTTAGTGTTTACTTCCAAGTTTATAAGGAGCACTAGGCTGGTACACTGTGCTTCTGTACATATTTGCCTATCCTCTGTTGCTAACCTTTCTACAGATCTTGTCCAGTTCCTTTTGAAATACTGTGTCTGAGTAGCATTGTTAAGCCTCGGTTGTTACTGGTGATTAATCATGGACATAGAACTCTGGACTCTTTCATTATTCATCCACCATTTAACAGGACAGCATAAGCAATGATTCTGTTGAGGCTTCCATTGTTTTCCCCCAGAGTCAACTCAATTTTCTCTAATCATCTTTCACTTTAGCAGATTAAAAGATTTTATAGTTTACCTCAATATCTTTTGCATTGAATTACCTTTTCTTTTTCTTTGGCAGCTTTTTATTGTCATTGGAAATAAAAGGGCAAACAGTTTTTGGGCAGGAAAACTTCAACCAGAAGAGGAATTGCATATGGACTCCCCTCTAGAAAAAAGGATAATGTTTATTACACAAAAATACAAAGAAGGAAGATTCAGGAAAACTCCTTTGGGCTACAAAACCAAAGAAGAATTAAATAAGGTAATATTGTGGTAAACTAAGTCCCGCCCTCATTATTTGTGAGTGTGAATGTGTAGTTGGAGATCCCTCCCAATCACTCTACCTAAGTTCTTGTATAACCTTTTTTTAGACTGGTAGGAGACAACGTCCTGGCTAACATACAGCCACTAACAGTGTTATTGTCCAAGGCTACATGTGAGCTATTAGAATCAATAATGACAGATACTTTTTATCTGTACAGTCCACTGCATTATCAGTATGTAGCTCTTTGCTTACTCAAGTAGTAAAATACCTTCATCATAAAAAGTCCCCAAATTCTAATTCCATAGCATTTAGCCATTATTTGGGGGTAGAAATGATTGAATGATCTGTTGTGATCTGTGGTTGATCTTGTGAAGGGTATGGAGTTAACTGGTAGCACTCAGTATATGCTGCCTCTACACACAAGTATCTTGAGAGGCCTTTAATAAAAACTTCTCAATATATTGTGTTAAATTAAGCCTGTTCACCTTGCATTTTAGGTGCAGGTCATGTTGTTTGATACTGTTGTTTGGATTATGCTCTTGCATGCAACAAATCATATGGCATACAGTACAATTACTCTTAAATGACCTCGATATGTTTCATACTTTTGATCTTCTGAAATATTTTCGATATGTATAATGTCTGTTAATAGTTCTTAAAACTATGACCCATGTTATTTTTGTTGCTGCTTTTTCAATCTGTTTCTTTGTGTTTGTAAAAGATGATGGTATCTCCTGTTAATATGCCTATTCACAACCATACATTAAATCATGGATTTCTAATTTTCAAGTACATACTTGGCAGATTGAAATTCCCACTGCAGTGGTTTGTTTCTTCTACTACAGCCAATGTACTATATAATACATCTGACATGTAACATCATTCTACTACATTAAATCATGGAGTGTTATCAAGTGTGAAAGTAACTCATGCGCACTCTCTTATATGGTAGATTGTACCCCATTAGAAGAGAAGCAAGCTGGAACAAATGAAATGAGAAATCTAGAGCTCTCAGTATTCCTTTTTACACAAATAGATTGTCATCAATTATTAGATGGCAAATTTAAGATTAACTTTTAACTTTTGTATAGCTTTCTTGATATCCAGTATTCTGTCTCATAAAGGAGACCTGTGCTTTCCATTGATGATTTGAGTGCATAGTCACATGTACTGAGGTCCATGGATAGGGAAGAAGTGCTGTGGTCAGGGTTAAAATACACAGAGATTGGACAGATTGCATATTTGATTACTTCTTAGTCAGACTTGGAAAATGTGTGTACATACACACTATTCAATGAAGTGGGGGAGCGGGATGGGTGGATTGAGTTTAGCAAATAAGAGTTAGCAAAAAGTGATTTTGCTCCCAACTGGAAAGAGAAGAGCTCACTTATTGAAAGGAGAACCCGTCACTGTATTAACGAACTAGCTATATTTTATAGTCCTGTAGCCATGAGAATGTGCAACAAATGCATATTCATTTCATTCAAAGACCGTCAAAGGCATCCAGCCCACCCACAGTGTAACCTTACTGTTTGCCATGGTCTTGACTAAATTCTATCTCAAACCCTCTGACTTCACCACAACAAAAACTGATTCCTTATGCTTCATATGGAGAGGAGTGAATTTCACCCAAAACTGCTTAGGAAAATAGAGCATTCTATTTTCATTGGGTAACTTGTCTGTAATAACCATGTAATAAATCAGTGGCTATGTGGTAACTGTGAACAATAGAGAAAAGTTGTAGTTGTTTATTTCTGTTTTGTAAACTTTTATTTTTCTAACTACACCGCTACCCCGATATAACGCGACCCGATATAACACGAATTAGGATATAACGCGGTAAAGCAGTGCTCTGGGAGGGCAGGGCTACGCACTCTGGTGGATCAAAGCAAGTTCGAAATAACGCGGTTTCACCTATAACACGGTAAGATTTTTTTGGCTCCCGAGGACAGCGTTATATCGAGGTAGAGGTGTACTAAAGTCTATAATTGGTGTGTGTTAATCACTTAACTACTGGATAACTTCAGATGTAATTATCAAGTGCTCTGCGGGGACATGACATTATTTTGTAGTTACTTGGCCATTGCCAAGTAATTATAGAATCATAGAAGTGTAGGACTGGAAGGAACCTCAATAGGTCATCTAGACCATTATTGGATTATACATGCCTTGTAAAATAGAGTGGTAGTATAATCTCTTTTAAATTGACCCCAATCTTTTCATCAGAAAAATATAGACGGAGAGAGTGATTTTTATTTATAGTTTAGTCGTTTTGTGGGGGGAGAGAGGGAAGGGAGATTTGGTCAAATGTCAGTTAAAAGTTCACTGTATCAGTATTCAGAAAAAGAAATCAGCTAGATAATACAGAGTCCTGCCTAAGTACTGGAGACTGGACTAGATGACCTTTTGCGGTCACTTCCAGTCCCTCAGTTCAATGGGTCATTTTCACTCTTTTATAGTAACATAAAGTCCTTTCATGTATACTAGATAAACACGTGTTGACTTATGCAACTGGCATGATAGAATTGCTCAATGCAACAAGAGCATTTTGTCTTTCATTTCAGAGAAACCTGTTTGTTAAATAATTCAAATAAATTATATTAAATGCACACTAAATCATGGAACTTAAACTGGTGCAGATTGCAGAAATCATGTACCGTAACTTCTCTTGATTTAAAGATGTGGATCAATATTTTCAAAAGTGATTTGATTTGACTAATGATTGATGTCACCCAACTTCACACTTGTTAAAGGGCCCTCATTTTCAGGAAGTGCTAAGTACCCACCCTCTGAAAATCCGGCCCCTCTTAAGTTATCTCAATTTAGGTGCCCTAAAATTGAGGTGCCCCAGAATCATTAATCACTTTATCAATCAAATACACGATTTTCAAAATACAATCTGTTAATTTCACTTAGCGTAGAGTCTTGGGACCAAATTCTGTCCTTTCAGTCAACTCCAAATACCAGGGACTTGACAGCAAGAGCTTTCTGTAGAAGTTTAGATGAGAAAGGGAGAAATTCTCTTAAGGCTATGGAGGGAGAGGGTTAGTGGAGTACTTCCTATATGCAGTATGCTACCTCTACAAGCATATCTGTTGACTCAAGCCAGCCAACCCCGTGTAATAACTTCACACAGCCTTTTCTCTGCAGAACATGGAGGATTCAGACCCCACTGCAGGGGCGTTAGAGGGATCTCTACCTATTACTCCCTCTCCCGCCTACTACTTTCCACTATACGCAGGATCTGTGAATGAGGGTGTGGGGGGTTAGTTCAGGGACAACGGAATTTGCACCTAAATAAAAAAATAATAATACTTACTCCCATTCATTTTCTGTTTTAAACTGACTTGTCATTTCCCCCCCTACATGATTAGGCCCTGTGTGCTGCAGTAGTTAAACAAGACGTGTTGGAAACAATGACATTGCTATTTAGTGGAGCTGATGTTATGTGTGCCACTGGAGATCCTGTTTACAGTACTCCTTACTTACTAGCCAAGAAAGCAGGACAAAGGCTGCAAATGGAATTCCTCTACCACAATAAATTCTCAGGTATAGAGTTTTTTATTATGTCCTCTTCATGTTTTTAAACTTTCTTTATGTAACAAGCTAATGGAGAAAAATCTAGAACATCGGTACTGGGTTGAAAAAGTATAAGTCTTTGACAAATGTGCTTGGCGTGGTGTAGGAACAAGGGGTGGTGGAATTAGTTAAATTTCATTTTTGCTAAAACATGACGCTTAAGGTCTCACTTAATCGAGAAAAAGTCACGTGTAACTTGCATGCTTGTGGAAATCAAGAGCCTTCATATTAATCACAGAGAGAACCTGGAGAGACCATATGATAATGATTGTGGGACTTTTACTTAAGTATCCATTTAATTTGTTCAAAGCACATTTCTGAAGCTGTTGGTGCTTACTACAAGCCTTTGAATCATTAACAGTATCTGCAACACACAGACTTATCTATCTTTCACAAAACCATCTCCCAAAATATAGCTCATCCTTTTAATCAAGTCAGCATAAAATAACAGCATTACTCCCACCAATCCATCCTGGTTCCTTCATCTCATGCCTTCTGTTGTAGCTCAGAGAAAAGAGAGAAACCTTAGAGCATGCCTTGAAAGTCAACAACTCTGGACTGATCAGGGAGAGGAGAGAGTTCAAGGATTCTGAGAAACACTGCCATTAACACCCTCTGTCTTAGATCAGGTCAATATTAGCTCATACAGCTCTGAGATGTGGTCTCAGGCAGTGAGTTCCCAAATTATTTAGGGCTTTGTATTCCTTATATTTCACCCAGACATTAATCAGAAGCCAGTGCAGACTCTGGTGCCTGGTGTAATGCGCACTCTCACTTAAGAAGCAGCCATATTCCATTCAAAGGCAAGTGGTGCAATGAACTTAAGGCCCCAGATAGTCAAGATGGGAGTCTTGCAATCTGCTCTATGTCTCTGTTCCCCGCAGTGCTCAAGCCAGGATAGCTATGTAGTGTGCCTGGCACAGGGCCCTTCCTTCCCCAGAGTAAGGGGAAACCGGGAAAGCTGATGGTGACTGTCACCATCTCGTTTTGCTCTTTGCTCTGAGCTTGCAGCAAAGGCATGATTGAGACTTGAGGAAACAAATTCTTCAAGTATATTAAGTGAAGTTTAGTAAAGCAACTATTTTACCTTTTTTTTTTTTTTTTTAATAAAAGCATATGGTGCTTTACATTTATCCTTGCTGGATTACAGTAACATCGCACCTAATGTAAGTATTTTAATTCACACTTCATTATTTTACTTAATATATGCAAGAAATAATTCAATTAGAGCAATATATAAAATACTAGGAATATAATTTAAATTATGCATAGCATGAGGTGAAGAAAACTGCATACACTGTCAGTTATGTATTCAAGAAATGAGATGCAGGAGGTCAAATGGCTGTAAATGTTAATAATGGAAATTCTGTGTGTTGTTTATTGTCTTTGTTCTCTGCATAGATTTCCCAAACTATGATACTGGTTTTGAAAGTGGCTTCTCTCAAGATACTTCACATTCTACTTTTCTTTGCGAATTTTTATACAAAGTTTCTTATAATGCTGCTAAGCTATTTACAGACAGGAAATTGAAAGAAGGTAAATATCTTTTACTTTCTCTACTTGATTGATTCTGTACAATGGATGAGTTTAGTGTCTTAACGTCTAACAATAGACTTTTAAAAGTTCTGTAAAGACAAACTACATCTCTAAAATGACACCAGTGTTTAAAGAAGCAAAAGAAGTTAGTATTCACTCAAAGAAAATCACAGTAACCACAAATCTCTCTGGTCAGAATTTGCTGGAGAAGAAAAGGAGAAAGACAAATAAACGTCTGAAAAGTAAAAAGGTGGGAAGAACATTTAGGTTATCAGAGGGAAAGACTGGTGTCCCAACCCCCAACCACTGCGTCTTTAACGGACTTCATACAAAGGTTTTGCTAAAAGTTAGTCTTTTAGCTCCATAATGGGGCGGGGGGGGGGGGGGGGGGGGGAGAGGCAGGGCAGAAATATGGCTGTTCATTAACAGTGTAATTGGCCTTGCATTTCAACAATCACTGAGAAATCCTGAATTTCAGGTTTCTAGTTTTCTGAGAAAAATCACCAGTACATCACGAGCTAAGAAAAGGAATAAAAAACAGCATAAGTCCAAGCCTCAGCATTCAGATTGCATCCAAATATACCCAGTGTTCAACTGTTTCAAATCCAATGAGATTCAGCCTATTACAGGCAGTTCAGGAATATTGTTTGAGTTGCTGCAATTTTCCCTCTTGACCTCTAGAAAGCCAATGTGCTGCATACAGCCTTAGTGGCTGTCACAGTACCGGGGCATCCCTATGCTCTTTGAGCACCCAGAGCATTGTTCAGTCTCAGCACAGTGGAGGTTCTTACCCACTAAAGTTTATGCTCCCAATACTTCTGTTAGACTTAAAGGTGCCACAGGACCCTCTATTGCTTTTTACAGATTCAGACTAACACGGCTACCCCTCTGATAATTACACTTAAACTTTGTTTGCCTTCTTTTACTAAAATCACTAATATTAAAGTACTTACCAATGGAAAACAGAGGCACAGAGAGGCTAAGTGAACTGCTCAAGTTCATACAGGAAATCTGTAGTGGAGAAGGGAATTAAACCCAAGTGTCTCAAGTGCCGGGATAATGCCCTAATGACTGGACTATTCTTCATTCCATGAAAATGGCAGATTTGTGGATTAAATAAGTATGAATTAGTGGCTTTCTACTGTGTTTTAGATACAGGAGAAGATGGTAGGCCTGCTTTTTGTGTACTTCTCATCCTATTACTAGCACTCACTTCAGCAGGGATGAACAGCATTTGGAGAAGTGTTTGTTTAGTTAACAGCTGTTAATAAGCAATGAGAAGAGCTCTCAAACCTTGCTACTGTTCTGGTGCAATACATCAAAGAATAGTGTTTATTATTTTTAGGGGAGAAAGAAAAGCTGGGTTATGGGTGTCTTCTAAAACATTTAGCATTCCAAAGCCATTCTCTGCAAGATTATAATAATTCAGCTAAAATTCTGGTCCTATTAGAGTTGAAAATCTCTTAAACTCTACACTGATACTTGGAATTTTGCATAGACAGGCAATTGTTTAAAAATGAATAATCATATTCCTTTTTAAAACTGATTGTATTGAAGATTATATACCAAGTTGTGAAACTAAGCTCACGCTGCACTTCAGACAGTTGCAAAATCTTTAAACTTGTCAATACGTATTTTAAGCCGCCGGATGTTTTCCTAGGTCCTGGTTATGAGAACTGATCTGTTTTTTTCACTTTAGCTGCATTTTACTATACAAGAAAGTGAAGACTGATAGCAGTGGGTGTCATAACCAAACAAACTGTAGGCTAGTGATGTTTTTTTCCCCCTCAGTTATCTTATGTGTGTGTCAGCTATGTCCTGTATGAACATTCCTATTCTAGGGCCAGTTAAATGGAATAAGAACAGGAGTACTTGTGGCACCTTAGAGGCTAACAAATTTATTAGAGCATAAGCTTTCGTGGGCTACAGCCCACTTCTTTGGATGCATATAGAATGGAACATATATTGAGGAGATATATCTGTTCCATTCTATATGCATCCAAAGAAGTGGGCTGTAGCCCACGAAAGCTTATGCTCTAATAAATTTGTTAGCCTCTAAGGTGCCACAAGTACTCCTGTTCTTTTTGCGGATACAGACTAACACGGCTGCTACTCTGAAACCTGTCATTAAATGGAATAGTTTGTGGTGAGGACATATGTTCATTGTGAAGAACTTAAAACCAAGTCCTATGAGGAGCTAAATATGCTCAACTCTCACCTGCAGATTATTTTTATCCTGAGGTTACTTCTGTCTAAATTTTAGTGTGTCTCATTTATAGCTTGTCCTGGATAGGACCGCTGAGCCTAATAATAACAAATTCTTGCTTTACCTATTCAAACCACTGTACAGACATTAATTAAAACACAAAGCTATTGTATGGTCCTGATGTCTGTGCCCACTGGAGAAAATTACCTGAGCATAAATCCTTATTAGCCAATTGGATCACAGTTGTTGGCAGAGCCAGTTTATGAAATGGAAGAATCCAAGAACAGGGTTTTTTTTTTTCCTACAGCCTACATGCAAAATTACAAGGCTGAGAAGGTTCTGCAAATCCAGCAATATGGCTTATCTCTTAGGACCTGATCCTGTGCAATACTGAGTCCTTTCACTCTCCTAGTGGAAAGTAAGAAGCATTCCTAAGATTACCTAGAAATATATAGAGGGACACAAAGTTTATAATATGTTATCTCTTAAACAGTGTATGTTTTTTAAGTTTCTGAAAGGTAGGAAACATCCAATTTTAATAAATGTTTCCAGTAATGCTGTAAGTTGCTTAAGTGATCTATTTAATAAATAAATGTATATGGTAGCTTATGGGTATTCCTATCTATGCTTTGGTAATTAATTCAGGATAAAATGTGGATTAACTCAACCTCTTATAAATGCTATGTATTATTAACATTACTATATTGCCACCTGTTCACAGCATTGTATGCACATAAATATCATCTAAGCTCAGCCAGAAACTGTTCCTAGTACATTTATCCTCCAGACACAAACATTTGTCTGTGACACTTAAAACCTCCTCAACATTGTATTTGTTAAAGAACAGTTGAACATGAGGTCTTCTAAACACCAGCATAGTTACAGTGTATATACAGTATACCCCACTGTAAATGACTCCATTGAATTCCATGGAGTTTCACTGTTGTGAGCGAATGGAGAATCAGACTCATAATACATAACCCACTCTCGTTCCTGTCCTCCTAAAACACAAAGCAAACTAAAAATTGTATTCGATTAATGAAACAATCCTTCGTGTGTTCTCTGATTTGACAGCATGAGTTGCTAGTCTTCTGGGAGCAAATTTTTCATGTTTTCTTGATCACTTAAAATAATAAAACTTTTGACACTGTTTTTCTTGTTGTGTTCTGTAGTCTGCAATGCATATAAGTTCTGGACAGTACAACCATTCATGTTTTTCCTAGAATCTTTGAAAGGTTTAGATTGTTTTCCTTAGCCTTATGACATTGAGTGGGCACTGTAGCATCACCTTACAGTGGAAAATGGATTGACTCTGTGTTGGCCTCTATTTCCAGTGTTCATGGAAAAAATAGCAGCACCTTTTCTCTGTTGTATGCTATGATTCAACTGTTCATTTTGCAATCAACTGTTGTCAAGATACATTATTCCTGAAACTTTCAATGTTTCTAACTTTGGAGGTTTTTTTAATTCTATATCTTATGGTTCTGTAACACCAAACAAACCAAATTCAGTATTAAATTTAAAAAGCAGCAAAGAGAAACTTGTAAAGCAACTTGATATCTGTATTTCTAATACTCAGACAATTTAAAACGAGTGCATTATGCTCACAAATATCTGGTTGAAGTACTATACATTAATATTCTTTCTTTAGGGTTTTGCTATATGAGGTATAGGTATTGCTGTATGAGTGCTACAGGTGCAATCCCAGCCCTATTGAAATCAGTGGAGAAGTCATTCCTATAGCTATGTATCTTATATAATATTAATGATTGTAGTATCCTGTGACATACTGAATGTCTTTTTAACCACAGACTGCAATAAAAGGTGGTGTACTTTGGAAAGTGGCTTCTTGAGTTACTATGAAAATGATAAAACAACCACTCCTACTGGTATGATTGACATCAGTGAAGTTATCTGTCTTGTGGTGCACAAAGAAGACTCCTTTTTAAATACAGGGTAGGTTCCAAAATTAGTCATTGAAAATAAATGAAGACATTTTCTAGCCTTTGTCCTAAGAAGTGACAACGTGTTCATTATTGCTTCACATGTTCCTGGACTCTTACAAAAGAGCTGAGCTGTTTTATGTGGGTGACAAGAAATAACTAAGTGGTCTTTGGCGATTTTTTTTATTAGTAGACAATAAAAATGTTATGCAGGGTAACTTTGAAAGGGCAGCATAAATTAAAGTAAGGAAGTCCACATTTTCTGTAAAAGGAATTTATCCTTAATATACAAATTGCTAAATGATGATAAATTGAAACATTGATTTCGGAGACTGACTTCTCCCCCAGGCCAAAACATTTGGCTTGTGCCTCTCTTCCTGCAAATAAAGGAGGGCAGTTCAGAGATGTCCAGCAGTCTCTAGGGTTTGATCATGTATCTTCCAACCCAGGGCTCACTTCTTCTGAAATGAACCTCGCAGCATGACTATTGAAGAGTTAAGTAATTTCTGAACAGGATGTACTTTCCAGTATAATAGATACTGTCCTAGCCACTTACAAGACTTCCACTCTATTGATTTATGCAAGAGTCTGGACACACATCTCCTTCAGGTGTCAACTCAGAGAGTGAACAGCCTAGAAAGCCAGGCATTCTTGATCTTCTGGATTTCTTACACCGTAGGTTAAAACTACGTATCGACACATCTCTGTGTCAAACACCATCATGAATGCAGGCTCATCTAAATCTCTGGTAAATGTCTCTACAGTATTGGGTTTCCTTAAGGAAACACATATTCAAATGAGCAATCAGGCCTAACTTCCCTACTTTGGATCTACTCACAGTGCTACAAGTTGACGTGAACCATCCATTCAAATCAATGGCATATATAACTCCCTTAATTCCTTTTCCTAAAGCCCTGCTTCCTGGTCACAACTACATTTTCAAAAAGTGTCTTCAAAATCTGTGTCTTGGAAAACGTGACCTTTACCGGGAGACTCTGTTGCCTAGTGGATAGAGCCCTGGACTTGGACTCGAGAGATGTGGGCTCTATTCCTGGCTCTGCTACTGGTCTGCTGGGAGACCTTAAGCAAGTCACTACCCTTCTCTGTGCTTCAGTTTCCTCATCTATAAAATGAAGCTAATGATGCTGAACTCTGCTATAAAACACTTTGAGATCTACAGATGGAAAGGGTTTGATAAGAGCTGAGTGTTCGCATAATGGATGGACTAAATGAACCCTTTGAGGTGCCTTCCACCCCTACATTTTTATGATTCTCATTATTATTTATTGTTCTGTGAGGACAAGAATGGTCACATGGTTTAGGTTCTAAACTTGGATTTGGGGAATACATATGCACTTTCCAGCTCTGTCAAAAGACATCTTGTGCAATTTGGTTCCCATCCTAGTGAATAGGGATGATATTTCTGCCCTGCTTCTGTTGTATTTGAGATTTTCAGAAAGCAGAGTGATGGGAACATACATGTATCTAGATTGACAGTAGAACTGGTCGAAATCATTTCAAAGGTTGGGAGGAGGAGGGAGAAATTTTTTCTTGTTTTTTGACTGACAGAGATAGAAAAGGTAGTCCATTGTACTCCAGAGTCTTTCACCACAGAACTTTAACTCTTCTTGCCCTAGATCTTAAGAAATCATTCTTCCCTCATTTTGCCCAAAGCCTTAACACACAGGAAAAAAACACATCATGCAATACAGTGAAATCTTGGCTTCATTGAAGTCAATGGTATAACACCCGTGGACTTCAGTGGTGCCAGAATTTCACCTTAAATGTGTGAAAAGAAGTTAAAGGATACCTTAAGCAAGAAAAACTCCCTCACATCATCTTTATCTAAAACATCCAAAACCTCCAGAGGAAGTGCCAGTAGTATTGTATTATGTGAAGCCACAGACACACTGATTCCAAAAAGAATCAAAACCCATTCAGCAAGTTTCAGGACAGTATCCTGGGCGGAAAGGACATTGAAACCCACAAAGGAAATCTATAAAGCTGACACCTGCTGATGCATGAACACATTCATAAACTGCTACAGGGTTGGCCTTCGTTTTTTTGCAGAAGCATTGTTTGGCAGGAAGGTGCTCTACGGGGCCCAAAATAAATAAAAGGCGAAAGATTTATACGATCTGAAGAGAAACCAGAGTATTACTACTACTACTAATCTCTCCCTAATTAATTCTACCTTACCAATTCTATCTGCCTGGGTGGAAGGTCTAGAGTTGAAAACTTCTTGCCTCATTTCCTTTCTGGGAATGATATTTCCTCCAGTCCACCCAACCTGAGAAGTTTGTTGGGTGACTATATGATGGCCTATTTAATTTCATGTCTGTTCTTAATGGAGTGGAATAAGCTGTTACTGTTGAGATGCTTAGCCTACTAATAATACGAATTTCCATATAACTTTGGAAGTGCTCACTTGGAATGAGGGTGGAGGGGCATGAGCAATCTGCAAAGCTTGTAGACAAATCTGAACTGCCTCCAGTATTTGCAAGAAGAGTCACAACCCAAATGTGTTGGACTGGGGGAGAAATCTTGGCTAGGAATTCAGGCTGATTTTCTTTGATAATGGCAGCATCATTATTTTTATGTTACAATTAGCAAAATGTGAATTTTGATTAGCCAACCTTTAAAATATTAGGTATGTTTTAATATCAGTAAGGAATCATTTGCAACATCCTTTTCAGTGGGTAAACAGTCTGTTTATATTCAACAAGCATAATATGTTTTAAATGTATTGCAACAATGATTTGTCCTGAAATTACATAAAATTTCAAGATCAAGTAATACTCTTCCAATGAAATTTTCATTTCAACTTAATTCAAAGCCCAATATGCAATGCCTTCACAAAAGGTATTGACCTAAAAAGTACTGTAACCATCCTGCTATGACTGCATAATATAAACGGTTTTATAGTATTAGCTACTTTATGTATGTAACATTAAAAGAAAAATGCAGATGGATTTCCATAGGAATGAGAGTATGAGAGAGAGAGAGAGAGAAAAAAAAATTGAGCTCTTGGCTATTTCATATTATCCTAAATACAACTTTTTTATTCTCTTGCTTGCTTTAGGGCCACTTTTACCTTTGAAATCTACTTACTGACAGAACGTGTTTTTCTATTTGGCGCTGAAACCGCACATTCACAGAGAAAATGGACCTGGGCAATAGCCAAGGTAATGCTGATAATTATCTGTGTAAATTAGGCCAAGAGCCTTTACATAAGATCTAAAGTGGCATTGTCAGCTTAGAATCGTCTGGGAAACCGTTCTTTAATGTAAGTTGATGAATACTGAGCTATCTGGTATGCAAAGGCTTTCTGTGCAGCAGAAGAAAATATCTACTGTAATGTAGATGTGTATTGAGATAATACAATGAAACACAAGGAGAATTGGTATGCAACATTCTAACACTGACCTTAAGAATACGGTTGTATATGTGCTAGTGTCTCAGGCTACGTCTTCACTACGGGGGGGGGGGGTCGATTTAAGATACGCAAATTCAGCTACGCGAATAGCGTAGCTGAATTTGACGTATCGCAGCCGACTTACCCCACTGTAGGGACGGTGGCAAAATCGACCTCTGCGGCTTCCTGTCGACGGCGCTTACTCCCACCTTCGCTGGTGGAGTAAGAGCGTCGATTCGGGGATCGATTGTCGCGTCCCAACGGGACGCGATAAATCGATCCCCGAGAGGTCGATTTCTACCCGCCGATTCAGGCGGGTAGTGTAGACCTAGCCTCAGTAGGTGTTAGTATCAATGGATACTGATCCATGCAATAGGAGCTTACATCAACTGAGCAGTATGGCTACAATTATGCTTCTCACATATTTTCTACTGAAATAAAACAAGGTACATAAAGGTTACATTACTTATAATAAAAATAGATCATTGACTTTGCAAGCTTAAAGAGACCAGAATTGGAAAACCTGTACTATTCCTGATTTTACATTTGGTCTTAGGATTTAACGTATGTATTTATTTTTTATCCTTATTAAGGGGTGCAATATCTATCTATATTGTCAACTCATCCCCATTTAATACATATGCATTATTATTTTGTGTATGTATAACTTTGGTATTTGCAGTGGCTTATTTTTTCTCATTTTTCTTGGCAGCATTTTGTTCCCTTCATGGCTGAATGTTTGTTAAAGAGAGACTATGATCTGATTGGCCAGCTGTACTACAAAGATTGCCATAATCTTGATCAGTGGAGAAAAGGCTGGTTTGCTATAGATAAGTCAAGTCTACATTTTTGTCTTGAAATGGAGAATGCTCAAGAGGATTCAATACATCTAAGGAGACTGCAGGAGCTAAGTAAGATTTCAGAGAATATTTGAAATGTATTAGCATGTGTTCTAAGAAACTTATTCTGATCCTCGCTTTTGGGAATATCTGTATAACATTAAAATCATGAATGTCAAGGAATTCAATGCACACATCCCATTGCATGCACCAAATGCCATCCCCATCCACTCTCATACTGTGCTGTCTATCTATATCTGTTTCTCTATTTCCATTGGTTGCCCAGATTAAAGCTATTTTCATAGCATCATAGTTAGTAAACCAAGTCTGGTCTAGCTATAGTGGTATCTTTCTTACAAGAGTGCAGGATCATAGAATAATATATGACCTATTGGGTCTGTTGTCTTTTTTTTCCTGTCAATGCAGAAACATTCAGTGTGTATTCTTGAGACGATTGACTGGTCTAGTTTAGAAGTATGCAAATTTACTGGAAAATAATATTCCTCTTGGAAAACTGTTTCACCATCTAGTGTTTTTCACTCTTCTGTTACTTTAGTATCAAATTTTCCTTTGCTCAATTTCATGATGCGAGGAAGATAGGAATATATTTATTTAATACATTCTATAGTAGATTACACTGTGCTCCATAATAGAGTAATTAGATTTTGGAGCCCTCTTTACTTTTGTAATATAATTATACAGAGCAGGGCAGCATGGAATATAGGGGCGGGGGGTGGGAAAGGTTAGAAATTATGCTTTTCATAAATTTTATTATCTCTTTATATATAGTTATTCATTCATGCTATTATTCTTATCTATTTGTAGCTCTATCCATCTGCACAGCTATTATATATGAGACTGTTTTGCACTTCAAGCAAGAAGTAACTTAAAAGCCAGCAGACCTCTTGACCTCCTTTAATTTCTCCATCAGTACTGTGAAAGGCATCTATTTCTTCATGAATTCACATACCTCTGGCTCTTGTTTAATCTTTGGAATACTTTCTGAGCTTGATTTACAGTTGTCAGGTCTGTGGTCATCAAAATCTGAAACAATTGCATTGGGATTAGTTATATGAGAATTCAGAATTTCAGGTTTTTTTGGCTATGCATTTGCCTGTGCAAGGATGCATGTTGGCCTAATTTTTGAATATTGGTCCTTCGGCAAGTAATATTGCTTCGATTCTGATGATGGAATGGACATCGTGTAATACTAGTCACATAATTCCTTCTGAATTCCTAGGTACCCAGACTGTCCATCCTCCTTAGATTCTGACTTTTCAATTGCCAAAAAGTAAGGGTCTTTCCTACTAATGAGGAAATTGAATTATATACTGGTCACTGAAGTTTGCAAAATAATGACTCTTCAGAGTCACTCGCCACTTTTTCTCCCATCTTCCATGTGTTGAAGCAACAGTGAATTTAAATGAGTTATTGTGTATATGTGACACAAAAATGGAAGCTACTGGCATTTGATTCATGCACCAGGATACGCTTATTGAACTTGATTGAAATTCAAGATTTTGCTGTCTCTTGAGGTGGATGGCAACATGAAGATATTCCACAGACTCTTTGAAAGAGATTACCTATTCAGAGAGCCCAGTTTGTAGATAGACACAACAATGCTTCAACTGAGTTTTACCTATCAAAGCTTTTACTGATTAGATAATACTGATTATAAAAATATAGTGGAGTATGTATATATTCGATATGTATACTTTTATATAGGCGGGTGACTATGTAGATATGTATACTTACATACACCTATATAGACACACACAATATAAATCAACATAATCAAGAGTGGAAATGGTCTTCACACTACACTAGTGAGTTTTCCTCCATAATATGATATTGTAAATATTCACAGCCATTGGAATGCAAGCAAGCTTGCAAGCAATGCAAGGTTCAAGAATCCAGTTTACTTATGCACCTGTACAGTACTGTAACATGCTTTTTTTCCAGGTCAAGGTTAATTTGATACAGCAAAACAGTGAGGTGGGAGTTACATTAAAAATCTGCTTATTTTTACTTGGTTATTATCCAGGTTGTTTTTCTTGATATACTTTTGGATCTATTGTAATTTGTTTTTATGCTTTAATAATTTGCCATATGTTCACTTTTTCAAAATGCATGCTAAATTTAAAACATTTTGATGAGCTTCATGTTCCTTTGGTCATTTAAAATTTGTTACACATATTTCCAAGAGGAAAATTTCATTATGTTTTGTTTTCAGCAATCAGCAGTGTGATTCAAAATGGAGAAAAAATAGATGTCTTGCTGCTTGTTGAAAAAGGAAGGTAAAGTGTTCATTTGTATATTATCAATTTTAAAACTCTAGTAGATGTGGTCTGATTTTTCGGCTGATTGGGTTTTAGGATTCTTGCTTATCTGTCATGTTTTTGCAGTTGTGGTTTCTAAGTAAATTGTGGCCTTTTAAAAGAAAAAAATTGCTCTGTTATTAAATAAATCTTAAGTTTGAGTCAGAAAATGCTAACAGTGTATTTTAAGTAAGTAAAATTTTCATATTGAGAGATTATTCCATCACTCATATCTAGGCCTCTTCAGAAAGCCCTAGTTTTCTTTCCCAAGTAGACAAAAAGAACAAGAACCCTTCTAAAAATTTCACACTGCTTCTGTCTTCACATGACTACTATATCCCAGGTTCTTTATTTAAATCAATTTAGAAGTAAGAGTAGAAGGTGGTATGTGTGGTTTATCCTTTTTATTCTTAATTTAATGCATGACTTTAATCAGTAACATACTGGTAGAAAAAGGACTTTTTGATACTAGTTGCAAGGGAATGTTAGTGAAGCAATGTCTATTTCAAAGTAGATTTTTGTAGTTTTGCTATCTAAACTGTGCAATTTTCCTTGTACATACAAGGACAAGTATGCTCAATAACTGGTCCAAGCTACTTCTTGACTGATGTGAAACCTTTATAGAATTAAGATGAAAAGCTTGCACATTCCTTAGCTATGGTTTAGTTGGATAAAACTAAGTGAAGGATGGCTTACCCAAGCCGTTAGCAATTTCCTGCCAGCAAGATAGCTGAAGGAAAGCAAGCGTGATGAAAACAAAACTGACAAGATCGTGATAAGGGGTGTGAAAATGAAAGACTCTTTTCTTTATGCAAGGTTCAGACCTTAGGAAAACAGCACTGTGTTGGAAGTCTAAAAACATTCTCAGATTAAGGGGAAAAACCCTCATCTGATAATGGGACTGTTGATAATGATATGATATTGAGGGAGTGAACAATGTGCAGGTAAGTACAGAAAACAATGATACTCAGACTAGTGGACCATTTGGACATCTGGTGATGGCAGAAGATAGGTTGTTTTCTCTTTAATTTTTTGTGTGTGAGGGGGAGACAACAATTGCAAAGTTGCATTTATGAATGATTTGATTGCCATTTATAGCAAACCTCCAATATCCTAAATACCTGTTACATCTATGTCCCAAGTAAATTATTGTCTTACTCTAGGAAACTCATCTGTGTCTCCAGTATTTTAATTCTCTCATAAGCACTTTTTAATTTCCTAAAAATGTATTGCACATCATAACTGAATATGGCAACTCAGATGGAAAACTAACACCTTTCCCTGAGCCTTTTTTTAAAATAAACATATTGAAAGGCTCAGTGATAAAAACACACAGCCCAACTAGGGACAGTGGGTATGCTATTCAACCATAGTCCAACAGATTATACCATACATATAATTTCAGAGATATCAGTGCTCGGAAAAGCTTCTAGCTCTAAGTCAGATTTTATTATTGCTTTCATTATAATATTTCTGTCAAGCAGAGACAAGTTTTCCCTGAACTGCTTTGATAGTTTAATGGAAATTCTGAACTATTTGGAAGTAATTCCAGCAGGGGCATCAACTGATTTTTTTTATGGTGAGCATGAATATGTTGAATTTTTCTCCACTTAAGTCTGCCACACTAAATTTAAATGCATAGTGTTCACATTATCTGAACCATTAAAAGCCATATGGATATAAGAGCTTTGGCATAGTAATGTTTTTTTAGGATATTACTCCATAATTATGCAGGTTTTCAGCATGCCTGCCAGATATTGTCTCTGTTAGTGATAAGCAATTAATTGTGGCATGATTTTGAAGAGTTAAAAATACTACTTTATTATGGTTTCTATTCAGCTTTGATATATGAAGACAGCAGATTAACCCGTTAGTACATCTATTTGGAATTCCTCAATATTAGTTAGTATTGACCAAATGTGTGGTGGTGATGAAACAGCAAAGCCTCCAGACTTTCATATTATGTCCATCAACTTGTGATCATGTTTTTGTAGTGTACAATTTGCTAAATGGAGTTCCAGGGACTTCTAGGCATGATGAATCTATATTCTGCTATATTGAAATCCTTGGTATTACTTCATAAGTCATTTAGAGAAAAATTGCACAGTCCAAAGTATCAATAAGTAGCTAATGGGAATGAGACAAGATGAGAAAAGTTTGTTACAGAACTATTAGAACTTCGAAAGTGAACAAAACACTTAAAATTTATTTGCGTCAGTGAATGAATCAAGATGGCAGATCTCCTGCCTCCTCTTTTTTTTTTTTTTTGAATACAGTTGGGGAAAGTAACGAAAATACCTCGGGTGAAATCCTGGCTCCAGTGAAGTCAATAGGAGTTTTGCCATTGACTTTGGTGGACCAGAATTTCATCACTTGTTTATTTGAATGGTTCATGTTTTCATAAGTAACACTGGCAAAGAAAGGATGGGGGGTGGGTTTAACCGCTTGCATAATTACTTATGAATCTTTATGCCTTAAATTACACTTAAAATATACGTGTGCTGTCATAGCACAGGAGGTTTGGTACATAAAAATGATTCATAATGTGACAATCTAAAAGTTTGCTGACAAATTTGACCTATAAAGGAAGGACCAGGCACAGAGTTTTATTAATCTTGATGATATTCTGGTCATAGTAATAAAGCTGCATGGTGTTATTAAGTCTTAAATTATGTTACCTGAGCAAACCCTTTGCTTATTTCAGAGGCTTAACTTAGGCTCCAACCCACACTGAAAAGGAGGAAGGGACCTTGCATGTATTTGAACTTTGAGAGAGCCTTTGATAAACATTCTTAAGCAACCTAAGCAGTCATGGGATAAGAGGGAAGGTCCCTTCATGGATCAGTAACTGGTTAAAAGACAGGAAACAAAGGGTAGGAATAAATAGTCAGTTTTCAGAATGAATAACAGTAAATAGCCATGTCCTCCAGGGACCTGTTCTGGTATCAGTACTGTTCAACTTATTCATAAATGATTTAGAAGAAGGGGTAAACAGTGAGGAGGCAAAGTTTGCAGATGTTACAAATTTACTCAAGATAGTTAAGTCCAAAGCAGACTGTGAAGAACTACAAAGGGGTCTTACAAAACTGGGTAACAAAATGGAAGATGAAATTCAGTATTGATAAATGCAAAATAATGCACATTGGAAAACATAATCCCAACTATACATACAAAATGATGGGGTCTATATTAGCTGTTACCACTCAAGAAAGAGATCTTGGAGTCATTGTGGATATTTCTCTGAAAACATTCACTCAGTGTGTAGCAGCAATCAAAAAAGCTAACAAAGTTAGGAGCTATTAGGAGAGGGATAAATAACAAGACAGTAAATTCATAATGCCACAGTATAAATCCATGGTATGCCCATATCTAAAACAGTGCTCGCAATTCTGGTCGCTCCATCTCAAAAAAGACACATTTGAAATGGAAAAGGTACAGAGAAGGGCAACAAAAATGATTAGGGGTATGGAAAGGCTTCCATATTAGGAGAAATTAAAATGACTGAGACTATTCAGCTTGGAAAAGAGATGGCTAGGGAGATATGATAGATGTCTATAAAATCATGACTGATATGGAGAAAGTGAATAAGAGAGGCTTATTTACCCCTTTACATAACACAAGAATTAGGGGTCACCCAATAAAATGAATAGGCAGCAGATTTAAAATAAACAAAGGGAAGTACTCCTTCAAAAAATGCACAGTCAACCTTTGGAACTCATTGCCAGGGGATGAAGTTGTGAAGGTCAAAAGTATAATAGGATTGAAAAAATATTTAGATAAGTTCGTAGAGGATAGGTCCATCAATGGCTATTAGCCAACATGGTCAGGGATGCGACCCCATGCTCTGGGTGTCCCTAAGCCTCCAACTGCCAGATGCTGGGCCTGGACAAAAAAAAAACACCTCCCATGAGGGGCGTAGCTCCCATCGCTGGTACACTGTCTATCCTGGCACTTCACAGCATTGAAAGAGAAAGTTGCAGCGCTGTAAAGTGCCATTATAGACAAGCCCAGAGTCTTGCTACGGAGAAGCGCGCAAGATTTTCATAGTTTTAATGTATGATGAAAGGCTTATGAGCAGGGGCCAACTTAAAGATTCTCAGTTACAATCACAATATCAGCGCCAATTCATTCTTCTACTTGTGCGGTGCCTTCTCCTCGCCAGGATTAGACAATAGCAACATGGTACCTGGACTGTTTCACAAAGACACCACCTGCTCAGGTACAAAGGTAATGGTCAGAGCATATTAAGTGCAATAGCAAACAGAAGATTGCTCTGACAGAGCTAAATCAGAGTCAACTGTTCTCAGAGTCTATAGTATTTCTCTCTTTAAATTTCTAGCTCCTTGAAAAAGATTTGAGTGAGACAGTCCGTTAAGGCAAAACTCCAATGGACTGGCCAAATTTACAATCCTTTAAACCTATAAAACAAAAAACAAACACTTGAAATTTATTTTGATTTAACATTTTAAAAAAGAAAAAAAAAGCTTGGAACACAGAGGTGTTTTGGTTTTACCTGGTGACATTCAGTAAGACACAGAAACTGAAGCAGCAATCCTTTTTCCATCTCCTGTATCTGGAGCGCCCCACAGTCACAGTGTAGCCTTATACTGTAGCTACACATACATATATATTTCATCCCTCCTGTTGGTTCCCCCATCCAGTTTGCTCCTTCATGCTATATCCCTAGTTCTCCTACAGCCCAGGCACTACCCATTTGGCAAATCCATCTCCCATTCCCTCCCTGTTTCCCTTGCTCTCCCACTACTGGGTGACTGATCAAGTTGGGTTGGAGAGTCTTGGTGGCTTGCTGGTGGACTGTCTAGTGGGGAGAGGAATAGTGTCTGTGAACAACTGTAGATGAGTAATGGAGCATATATTATAAATTGTAACATAACTAGTATAATTATTATTGCTGGGGTATAAAAGATATTGTACTGTTGAAGCTATTGGTCCGGCTCAGCATTTTTAAGAAAAGGAAG